TTTCACATTTCCCCCCCCTTAAAAAATATTTAAATACCAAGTGCTGTAAATGCCACTTACTGTCACACCTTTAGCATTAGAGATGCTATTTTGGGACATAGTTTTCGTTCAGATTGGGTTTAGTTTATGATCTCTGTGATGTAGTTTTCCTGAGATTATAAATGGGATTAAATTCAAGTTGACGCAGTGGTTGGTGATAAGGAATTTAGCCTCTAGTCAGGGTGAGGTCAGCATTGGCCTTCACTTGCGCTCTGGAGTCTTTTCTAGTTGCACAGGCAACTCTGGCGATAAAGCAAGCATGTTCTACACCTGACTGAGAGCAAAAATGTAGAAACACTACACTATGACATTAAAGCTCTGAGTGTAAACAGTAAAGTCAGTTTCATTATAGTAACGTAATTGACCCAGGCTGCTCTAAATAGAAGGTGAATTAAAATTCTAAATGTGTGGCTATTGTTTGACATGGATGAGGTTACTTTATTCCTTGTGGTTTTCAGTATCATTAACTCAGGGTTTGGTGTTTGTTTTATTTGTTTCACTCTCAGCCTGCTCAAATTGTTCGGGTGAAAGTACATTCATCACCTTACCCCACCCCCAACCTAAACCTTTTGGTAATCACCTTTGAGCACTAGAAACACTGATACGTGAAAGTTACCTGTGTAGGTATTTCCCGAATAGTTTTTTAAAATAGGAAGTTTTCTGTTTTGAAATTGTTAGTGGCATCAGCTCTAGGAAATAAATGCTTTTTTTTTTTTTTTTTTTTTTTTGAGTTGTGACAAGGTACTCAATGGTGGTGAAAGGAGAGGGAACAATTGACTGTTGAAAAGTATTTTTATTTTTTTAAGCCACAATTTGGCAAGTCCTTGGGGGTTTAAGAACCTGAATTCTAATGTGATGGGACAGAATTACAGCTTGGATCTAGACCCAAATTTCTCAACCTCAGCATTATTATTTTGGGCTTGGTAATTCTCTGTGGTGAGGGGGCTGTCCTCTGCATTGTAGGATGTTTAACAGTTTTCTTGGTCCTCTACCCATTAAATGCCAGTTGCATTCTATCTCCTTATACCCTCAGTTGTGACAACCATAAATGTCTCTGGATGTTGCCAAATGTCCCTGGGATGGGAAAGGATAGTGTCAAGATTGCTCTGTTTGAGAACCCACTGGTCTAGCTTGATAGCTTCAGTAACCAACTGTATTGCTAAAAACCACCACTCCTCATCAAAAATGCATTTTCTGATAGATTTATTAACTGTGTTGCTTCTGTTCTGTGCTATGTACATTTATAAGCATTAGCTTAAGACAGAAGTTTACTAATTAGTGTAAACTCATAAATGGATAGATGATTGAATTTCCCTATCCTTGCTTGCTGTCAGGTTAAGGAAACTTGTTATAGTTTCCCTGGTGATAAGTTCAGGTTTGGGTCTATAGAGGACTGATGCATGTAAACTCCCCTAATTGGCAGAGCCATTGTTTTTTGTTTGTTTGTTTTTTAAGTTCTATTTCTTTAGGGTTTTTTTTTCCCCTAGCGATTTGACAATGTCAGTACTTCTTTTGTTCTCAAACATTCTTAAGTAGCATTCATGGTTTTCTTCGGTGAAAGTGATGGGCACTGGGCTGACTGTCTCCGGTAAGCTTCGTTCCGAAAAAAATGTTTTACCAGGGACACGTGGGGCAGGTGGGCTGCCCTTTTGGACTTGTTTCATTTTCCAAGATGTGGGCCTTCTCTCTATTCCTTTCAATAAATGTATTACCGTAGGAACATTTACCCCGTTAATCATCTTACTCTGAGTGGCTCTAGCCAGAGCTTTCTCTGTTTAGGCTTGATTCTTCTTTATAAGCCTCCTTGGAAGATACCTGGAGCAAGAGATATTCTCCTTTTTCAGATGTAACAACCGGGTATTGGGAAGGGGGAGTTGGAGAGTTGGTACTCTTGAGTCATAAACCTAAGAACAAATTCCCATCTGTCACTGCTAAGTTTGCATGGTGCAGGTGGCTTTATCTCCTGGTAAAGGTCCAGTGGTATGTTCTCAGTATTGCATGGCCTTAGCTTCTCATTACCTGGGAAAGAGAAACATATGAGGTCTTTTGTGAACGTGACTGGGCTGCTGTGGTCCCAGGAGAAATGCTGTTCTAGGGAACAGAGGCTTTGCATTCATCATTCTGGCTATGAGCCTCAAGGAAGGCCACTCTGTCACCTGTGAAATGGGAGCTGTGATGCCCAGCTTCCCTGCCTCAGGTGTGTTCTGAGCTGAGACCAGATACTGAAAATGAAAATGTTATCTGGGAGCTTTACATGGCAGGATAAATAAGTAAATATGAGACAGTGATATCCGTGTTTCCTGGATCTACAGTATCTTCAATAGTGGATCCATCCTTTTGCTACCTAGTACCCCTTCCATTTAGATCAGATTTTGCTTTACAAAAAAAAGAGAAGAAGCTTTCAAGCTGGCCAATTTAAGGATGGAGGAATCCAGTTGGCTTTGATAATGGACAATGAGCTATTTCTGTAAGGGGAAAGCTTAGAGCAGAGGTGGGGTAGAGGTGGAGTTGCCATTGGCCAGTTAGGCTCTTGGATATCCCCATTGAGTTATTAGCCTAAGTGTTGGGTATAACCACACAAATCCACTTCACAGCTGTGGCAAAGCCCCTTTTTCATATAAGGTAACCTTTCTTTTCAGTAACATATCAAAGAATACTTTCCAGTCCATTTGTCTAAAAACTAACTTGGGTTTGGCAGAAAATCTATTTTTCTCCTTGCATATCAAAATTTTGCCTTTGCTCTGACATAAAATTCCACCTCTGAAGTCGTCTTTTAGTCACTTGAGGGGATTTTCGGGGGGGTGGGAGAGTGTAGGGAGGGGTGGTAGGGTGGTGTTCTCAACCCTGTAGTTTCCTGCCTTCCCCTCTGCTTAGCCTCTTTCATCTTCTTTTAATCAGTGCAGTGCTTAATTATCCCGCTGCTCTTTCTTGTGTATGCATCACTGCATTCCCCCCCCGCCCCGCCCCCATACACACCCCCAAGCCGGACATAGCTCTTACTCTCCAAGTAATGATAGTAATTGCTGGTAGGGCAGACTTGGTCCTCATCCTTCTCCAAGCGCATTTCTTATGGCAGGTGTCTAGTTCCTAATTAAGTGCTAATGAGCATGCCTAGTGGACCATGACGCTGCTGCCAGCTTCTTCAGTTTTATGTCTTGCTGTTGCCGAGCTCTTAAAAGGTGACAGAGCAAGAATTAGTGTCTTTTGGATGACAGGAAGGTGATTTTATGTGTAAAGAAATTGTTATTATGATCTCAAATGGCAAATGAGTAGTTTATAAATACTTTCCCCAGAATACTATTAATGCTGTCTGCTCGGACCTCACCCCCTTTTCCATTTCCCTCTAATTAGAACTGTGCTCTCTGGAAGGAATGGAAGTTTAAAGAGAATGTTGGCTCCTAAAGATTTTTTAAAAGGTGCTAGTAGTAGTTGAAGATTTACTGTAAAATGATTTTGGACACTGATTTCTGATTTCTGCTTTTAAGATGCTGTTTTGCTCTTGAGGGCAAGGAGCATGTTTAGGATTCAATTAAAGATCAGTAGTCTAGGTGGAAATTACTGAAGATCTGGCATGAAGATTTAATATATTCAGCACACGCAAGGGGGTAATAAATAAAACGGGTAATTGAGTCCCAGGGAAGTGAGCACAAATCAGAATCTTAAGAATTTCCTAACATTACACCTTAGAAATTGAGCTTTAATCGTTTTTACTGTCTCATCAAAAATGAGTTTTATGTTGGACATCTGAAAAGTGACCAGATTTATGGTACAAGGGCCATTTCTTGGATACTTTTTCATTTCTACATCATGCTTTTAAATATAATAGATGAGAGCAATAATACTTTTTAATATGAAGAGATTTATAATCTCTGGAATAGGTTAAGTGATAGAGGCAATTGCATTTGGGAATGGGGACTTTGGTCACCATGCTTGATGTCCCACAGGACTGGTGAGAGTGTTTTCCCATCAAGGTAGTTGGCCTCTCTGGGTCTTAATGTTTTCCTTGTGACATTGAAGGACTGGGTTTGGGGCATGGAACTCAGAGAAAGTAAGGGATAAACAAGGTTTCACCTTAACTAAGGTTTCTTCCATTTGTCATATGCAGGGCTCCCTGAGACTTACCTCTCTATGCGGTGGCACAGTGACCATTGAAGCCATTAGGTCATTCCCATGTTAACTCCACTCCCCTCCCACCTGCTGGGAGAACCTCTGCAATTTCCTCATTGCTTTGAGCCTTGATTCCTTTTGTGAAATGGGAATGTCAGCACCTACTCACAGTGAGGGCTTAATGAATTAAAGACACGCAGTGCCTGGAGGTGGGGTTGTATAAGAAATGCTGGGTGTTCCTGCTTTCTGGGTTCTGTTAATGAAAGATAATATTTTGGTTTTGTTTCATTATACTATTGTGGTAAGTTAATGCAAGAGTGTTGGTAAAATGGAGCCATGTAATAACTGATGACTACTCAGTTACTATATTGTAGGATGCATATCTGTGCTTCCCCAATTTTAACCTTTCAAACTCAGGACGAGTCTTGAATCTATGGCATCTTAGATTCAGTGACATACTGGATTTCATCCGCTGAGGCACTTAGAGATAGAACTGTATAACCTGGGAGTTGCTTACTAACTTTCACTTGCTGATGATAATACGCAGCTGCATTCGCAGAGGGTGAGTTATACCGGATCTGAGGACAGTGTAGATCTGAGGGTTGTATTTTGGGGAAGTAGAACTCATCAGGTAAAAGCTTCTGATGAAACTGAAAGTGCTAATCACATTTTTTCTCTCTTTCCCTCCCTCTGTCTCCCTCTTCACCCCCGTCGTGTGTGTGTCATCTTCCTATCCTGTTCTCCATCCTCTCATGTCATGTCTACTTTCCCCCGGATGCTGCCAACGCCGCTGCCACCACCACCACTACCTTCTCCTCCTCTTTCTCCTCCTCCTCCCTCACCACCACCAACAGCAGCAGCAGTTGCAAGCTCAGCATCTTTCTCATGGCCACGGACCCCCAGTCCCTCTAACGCCTCACCCTTCGGGACTTCAGCCTCCTGGAATCCCGCCCCTGGGCGGCAGTGCCGGCCTTCTGGCACTGTCTAGTGCTCTGAGTGGGCAGTCTCACTTGGCAATAAAAGATGACAAGAAGCACCACGATGCAGAGCACCACAGAGGTGAGAGGCCGGGCAAGCCAGATTAGGACTTTGTCCTCACACTCATACAGTGCTGCAAAGTTGTGTGCACCGCTAAAGAAAGCCCCAACCTATTCAGAGAGCAAACAATGAGCTAAGAGGAACTGTCGCAAAGCTTGGCCACTGAAATACAATTCACCCTGGAAGTTCTCAGGGTTTAACGTGGGCATCTGTAGATTTCTCGATCTCGTTAGATTGCAGGCATCTTGACATCTTGGCAACTGCCTAGTTAATGCCAGTGGCCTGTACCATATTATGGAAAACTGTTAACTGCTTAATTGGGTAATTTTCAAAGAAAGTAATGTTGTTAAATGGGGCGAAATAAGAAGTTAAATTTGAAAGTGAATGTGTTCAAATGAGAGGTTTGATAATTGCATCTGTTACTACTTAGTTTCATAGGCTTTAATTCTAGTACGCGTTAAATATTGGGCAAAATTGCACTTGACTAATTTTTTGAAGAAAAGTAATTTATTCTGTCAAGAAATAAAAAAATAGGCTTTGTGTATGGTTAAACTGTAAATCTTATGTTTACAAAATACTGTAATTTTCAGGAAATCACTGTATTAGGAATGTGCAATGACTTATATAAATAAAAGCCATTTTTAAAACTGTTTGGGGCTTGTGTTCTAATTATTCCCCCCTTTTTTTTATTTCTGTTCTTGCCTCTGTATCTGAACGGGCATGTCTGTGCGTTTCTTGGTAACCTCGGGAGCAGACAGAGAACCGGGCACAGTAAGTACCCTAACGCCTGCTGCACATGTACACATTCCCCTGCCCCCCTTCCTGCAGTGCATCCCAAGCTGCCTTTCTTTAAACACAGGCACAGGCGCACATGTTCTTCCCTGTCTCTCTAAGTTAGCAGATTTTTTATTTTTTTAAAAAATATGGCTATTCCTCTCCTTCACCACCACTCCATCTTTTTTATAAAACTTTTAGATGAGAGCAACATGATTTTGGGGCAGAGCTGTTTGCTATGATCTGTGTGCCCCAGAACCACTTAAAAAGTGTTTCCCGTTGCATTTCGAGTCTAGGTTGCCCGTAGTTTAAAAGAGTATTCTTTTTTATCTTAAATCAGTTTTACAGGCAAGAGGTCACAATCCATATGTGAAATTGGCTAGTAATGTATTATTCCTACCCGAACCATTTATTATCCTCTGCAAATGCATCTTAGTTGCTAGGTTTCCATATCTAGTTTTCTTTCATAATTGTCCTTGGAGGGAACTTGAACTTACATTTATTTTAGACTAAAGAACTGAGCATCTAAGTCCTTAAAAACACGGAAATTCAGCGGTCAGGGGTTCTGTGCTTGGAGAGCTCATCTTTTCACCAGCTTAACTCTTCTCCATTTTGCAAAATGTACATTTGATCTGTACACATATCCGCCAGTTAGCTGTGGGGAGATCTGTGTCTAAAATGCATCTCTCAAATGTGATCAGCTGGAGTGAGAAATTGACCCCTTTTCAGCAATGATAACCTATGGTCTTTGCCTTCTTCCCTCCCTTCCTTCTTTTTGAACATGGCAGTATTTTTACCATCTTAAATCTAACTGTGGTAAGAAAAAAAATGAGATACTGAACTTTGAAATCATTCTGATAATTTTTTTGTTACGGGTTTGTGGAGAAGATATGTAAGTCTTTTCATTCTGAAAAGTCCTTTTTTGCCCCCCTCTGTTTTCTGTGGAGAACAATAGAGAGTTAAAAAATTCTCTTTGAGCTAAATCTTGGAATACTTGATAAATTACTATGTGTTGCGGGGGGATGGATAATGGTGAAAGGATAGAGTGGCTAGTTTTAAAATTTTGGTATTATAAGTGTTTCTCTGGAAAATGCTGGGGAGAGAAAAAAATATAGCTGGGGAATAAAATATCCTCCTTGCAAAGAACACAGCTAAGTAAGCTGACTTTGATTTGTGGAGGTGACCTTTTTGTTTGCTGTTTCAGTGTCCCTGTGTATCATCCTCTTTTCTGCCATGTTCATTCAGTAGAGAGTCAAATTAAAAACTCTACTTTGGACCAGAGAGCAGACGGCAGATGTTGAGACACACCACCCATGTCCTTCAGTCTGCTGCAGGTTTTCATTTACTCAACTTATTCTAGGTTTGGGGCTTTAAATTTTTATTTTCAGTACTATGGTTTCACCATAAATCATTGTATATTTATTTATCGAATGTTTACTATATGTAAGGTAAATGGGAAGTGCATCTGTAATTTGGGATTCATAGGCACACTTATTGTAAGGCTTTCCTCAAGGAACCAAGGAAAAGGAGACCAAAGTGCTTAAAAGTAGACTAGAAAGTTTCAGCAAAAGTTCAGGCAACCTTGGAAGGCGTACTATGGCATGTACCTCTCTGAAGTACCAGTAAGTGGCAGGAATGAGTAGAGGTTTGCATGCTGAAGCTAGTAGAGGCATTTTTTTAGACCTCCTTTCTTACTTCTCAATGTATCTAATAACTTCCTTTTTGTGTATGTGACTGAAAGATGTAGATGAGAACTTACTGTGGAAGTGAGGGTGGGATGGAGGAAGGTTGATGAGTTATGTCCTTAAAGAAGGACAAAATAGTTCTTGAATTTCAGGCAGCAGTGGTTTGCTTTCAAGTCCACATGTTGAGTTAGCAGTCAGTGAATGTTCAAATCAAAATGTGGATACATTGCATAAAGCAGTCTGTAAAACAATATAAAATAAAGTTACCTAATGTGCTATTCATATGTTGCCTTTTTCACATCAAATTTTTGACACGTAATGATAATTTTTAGAATATAATATTGAGAATATTTTCAGAATATGTACTGTTTCCTGCCTAATCATAGAAAACTCTAGGTGATGATATAAAATGGAAAAACTACACTCATTTGTAACATAAACATTTAATTTGATCTGTAGAGAGGAATTAAATTGTTCACTGTCCACATAAATGGCATTTTGCTGCAGCTATTAAATAAGTAGCTCTTCAAACTTCGTGTAAAATTGAACATGCACAGCAGTAGGTAGTAAGATGTGTACTATGAGCCTCAGTTATTATAGACCTTATTTCCTTAATAAAGTGGTTTGAATTATGAAGTCTAATTTTACTTGGCAGATAAGTTAGTTGGTTGCTTTTTAATGGGCTTTTTTTCCCCCCTAATGAGGGGTTAAGGGCAGTTGTACAGGGCAGAGGTTTTCAAAGCTTATGGTCTAAGAATCTTTACACCCTTAAAATTATTGATGACACAAGAGAACTTTTGTTTATGTGAGTTACATATTTTGAGATTTTGCTGGATTCAAAATAAAACAAGTTTAAAATCACTTAAGCATATAAACAGCTATGTAATTTGTGTTAACATTATTGACAAAATAACTTTTCCAAAATAAAACAATTGTGGAAAGAGTGGCTTTGTCTTACACATTTGCAAATGTCTTTAGTGCTTGGTTTAAAAAAGAATAGCTGGGTTCTCATCAACGTACGCATTCTTTTGGTTGCGAAACATTGTATTATAGCAAGAAAGTCTGCCTTGAAAGAGAGATGTAAGGGTCTGGGAACACCACGCCAGTTCTTGAACCAAACTCTGAAAACCTCTGCCATTAGACTGAGGACTTCTGAAAAATCCCAGACTGGCCTCTAGTCTTAAATTTTTCTGTTCTTTCTATAGTGAACAAACATTTATATTAAGTGCAAAACCCAGAAACTTACGTAGATCCAGAGGGAATGTGGCTGTGTACGGATTTCTATCTGTAAATCTGAAACTGGTTTGTAGGACATGTTTATTTTTAGTGACAAAATTATTCCATTTGCTAGTTGAAGGTATATGGTAAGAAAACAGCTAGCCTTAATGTAACCTGTATTAATGTGTAAATCTCAGGAAATGAAAAAACTAAAAAGAGTGAAAACATGGATGCACTTTTAAGTTTCTTGCTTCTGAAAGGGTTGAACCGATAAAGCTAGAACTTTTAAGAGGTTCCTTTTGCTGTTTGTTTATAAATTAAGATTTGACTAGTGCTTTTCTAATTTGCAAAACTTGGTGGTGGTTTTGAACGTAAGCCTACTATCAATGCTTTTTACTGTGGAGCAAAGAAATATGAAATGCCCTAACAAAGGTCATTTCAGTAGCGATAAACACTTCAGATCTTTGAATTAGAGATGAATTGTATTAAATTTTGGTTGAAGGGACTATCATTTAAATAAATCTGCCTGAAAGACCTGGAAGTAGAAAGCTGACTAAGAGTTGTATGGCCGTCACAAAAATAGGCTAGAATATATGTGTAAATACTCCATACTTTAAAAAATACTGAGCACTTATTATGTGTCAAACACTATTTTAGTCACTTATTGCCATTTTACAGTGATGTCTTTTAATGTTGCAGTCAAATTTTTTTTGTCTGAAAATACTGAAATTCCTGACCCATGTGATCACTATTTGGAACATTTAGAAAAGGAAGGAGACTTGCAGGTGATATTTGGGAGAGACTCCAGAGCACAGAGGGTTTGTGGACTTAGGCAGGGTTCATAGGCCTCAGAGGGTTCTTGAACTCCTAAAAATTGGATGTAGTATTCTGGGTCAGTGTTGTTTTACAGAATTCTAGGGGAGGTCATAACTTTCATTGAATTCTCAAAAGAGATTTCTGGTTCAGAAAAGTCTAAGTACAGTTCACCTACATTAGAGATCATAAATGGTGCAGTTATCATCATTTTATCAATAAGGCACCAAGCTCAAGGAGGTTGGGTGCCTCTGATCACATATTTACTTAGTTAATGGCAGTTGAGAATTAGATCACATCTCTCTGAGGGACTGTGTTGTCACTCCTGTAACTGGCTTCGAAAATTCTTGGTTTCATATTTAGAACTTAGTTAAAAGTAGTGCCAACCGTCACTGTACTTAATGTAAGGTAGCATCTTTATTTTGTTTTTCTTTAGTTGTCCTGCCTGCCTAGTTAATTGACCAAGGTAGGGCAGGACCAGATCCTAGCTCAGGACCATCTATCACTTCACTTATTCTCAAAACGACACTCAGCATGTTAGTGAGCACAGGAGGAAATAAGATGTAAGGATTTCTCTGGAGAAAACTTTATCGTTGGTGTTTTTCTGAAATTTTATTTTTGGGTGTCACATTGTCTCCCAGTGGCTCTTTAGGAGTCTGGCAGCGTGGGGGCGGGGTGATAGAGCACCTGCCAGGACAAAGGCAGCCTCTGTGGAATTCTGACTGCACAGGCAGGCTTCCTCTATAAAGTGGTGATGGGTGGCTGCCACACAGGGCCAGGCGTTAGGAACCAGAAACACCAAGTCATCATTCGTAACATAACAAGACTTTAGGAATGTCCTCCCCCTGAGTACCTGCTAGCAAGACAATAAATGCATTATTAGTCATGCTTAACAAAGTTACTTGTGGTTTCCTTTCCTTTTTAAAATACAACGGGGAGGCAGTTGTGGAGATTAGGGCTCTTGTGACAGGGTGGCACTTACTGGTGTTTCTTAGTGTGTTGGGACCGTGAAACTGAACTTCATCGGTCTCATGATAATCATCTCTCAATCATAAACAGGATTAGGAGAAGGTATTTCCATCTAAATGTATATGACTTTATCTTGACCTGGGGCATGTCAAGGAATTGCCTGGAAAATAAGGGATAAAACTGAGATGTGTCACCTAAAATTTCAATGTTTAGGCACAGTAGAAAACACTAAAGTTTTCTAAAGCAGTCGCCTCAGGAGATTTCCCTTTTGATAGAATTTGAAACTATGTGCTTTAAAAAAATGGATACTCT